ATAAAATTGTTTTTTAATATTAATTTAGAAAATAAAATTATTTATGATTTAATATATTTATATTTCAAGTAGTTATATGATATAAGTTATAGAAACTATAATATAACACATGTAAGTCGCACAAGTAACATGCGCCATTCTAAAATACATATAATAATATATATTTAAAAAAAATTTAAAAATAATTTTCATCATTAATTTAAAAATTTAAGAATAATTTTTTAACAACCACCCGTGTAATACACGTGAATTGTACTAGTTGACACCTATTGTAGAAAAGTATACTAAAATCAAACATCATTTATAAAAGAGAAATTACCTCCCTCGCTATATATACTAGTAAGCATCCCGTGCGATGCACGGAAGTTTTGTACTTTAAAATATTTTTTTTAAAATTATAATTTAATATTAGCCCATCGAACCATTTATATTAATATAAATAACAATTTAACATGTTTATTTATTTTTAAATACATAAAAATAATACTATTTATTTTTGTTCATCATAATACTCAAATATTATTTTATTTTAAAATGTATTGTCATCTAATGTCATTATTAGTATTTATAACATTATAAGAGTAGTATTTTTTTAATATATAATAATTATTATTTAATGTACATTAATATTATTTATTAAGTTAATTAATTTAAAAATATATAAATAAATGTACAATAAATATCGTGTCATATATGCACTATTTTTAATTAGAAATAAAAAATGTACAAAAAAACTAAGAGCCTATGATAATGGAAATTATTCCCAAGAGGAGGAAGACCAGTTGATCAATGTTACGCGGTCCTTGGAATGGTCTACGGGGTTCATAACTACTCCTCTTACTACAGGAGCCGATGCGAGTTTACCCTTGCTTGCGCGAGAAAAGGAAGGGTAAGAAATTTTTTCTTGTGAATTTTTGATCGTTTTTGGTCATCCTGCATTTCCGCACTTGCGAAATAGAGATTGAAAGAAGCTTCTCAACTTTGTCGACCATAAGAACGAAGCGAAGTGAAGATGCCCAAGAAATGGAGTCAAAAGCCTTGCGAAGGTCAATCTTGATTGTGCTCCTCGGGGAAATCCGCTTTTTTAGAATTTGTCGTCCGTCGTAATAATTAAAAAAAATAATAAAATATACATATATATATATATATGATTTTGTCAATATATTAAATATATTAAGCATAAAAATAAATTAGTAATTAAACAGTATTATCGGTGAATTACATATTAATATATAAATTATTATAATGTTAATTAATATATATGATTTTATACAATTTTTTTAGTAGCATGTTGTATTGACCGAAAATATATGGAAAGGATATTGAAGCACATTGACGAAATTATGTGGGAAGATATATTCAAGCAGAGTTATCTCTTCTAGGAGTTATCCAATTCCAATAATTTCAGAAGATATATTCAAGCACGTGAGTTATCTCTTATAGGAGTTATCCAATTCCAATAATCTCTCATTATTTAAAATTTGAATTCAAATATGACTTTTAATTTACCGTCCACATATTTTAATCTCGTGTGTTATAAAGAATTCTAAAAATAGAATGTCAACTTATTATTCTTTTGGTCAAAAATTTCTAAAAAGGTTTATTCCAACAACCTTTTTATATATAGATAGATTTTACTTTTGACAAAATGTTACGCTTATTGTTTGGGAACATTTATACACGCAATTATTACTTTTTTGCACCAGTTTTTAGTTACAATTTCCTTATGTAAAGGTATTATTTTAACAATTTCAAATGTTTTTAAATATGATAAACTCCTTAAATTGTATTAGTTTAGACATACAAAAAGATGTATTAGATAATCTCAAAATCGTTGCACCATATCGTTGGTGGACTTTCCCCACTCTCTCTCTCACTACCTCCACCACCGGCGATGACGACGGAGGACCAACCCCTCTCTACTTCCCTCCGACCACCACCACCCTCACGTCACACTCACCGTCGGCGACCAGCCCGACCCGTACCAACCCGCGTACACATTTCAATCTGATCACATGGGGCACCACAACCCATTCGCCTTCGTCGGGGCGGACAACGGGTTCGACGTTCCTGTATCCACCGTTCTCGGATGGCAAGTTTGATGTTCTCGTTTGCCTTTGTTTGGCAACCTAACCACATTGGTCATCAATATTCTCCTTCATTCAAACAGAAGTCCTCAAGACGGACTCGATCGGCGTCTTTCCCGGTCAAAAATTGGCCGCACGACAGGCAAGGGGGTAATCTCGGGCCCAATCCGTGCAACTCGTGCTCGTCAGGCTGTCTGCGGTGCCGGTGGGCTGATGTCGTCCATGATGCAGCTTTAGCTTTCACGGCCTGCCTAGATAGCGGTGCACCCCATGGCCTACTCCCAGGTATGCCTCCGCGTCGGTGGGTTCGTACCTCCTCTATGTTAGTTTGTACACAGGCCTCCGATGCATTATTTGTTTTGCTACTAAATTACGTCTAGTCTCATGAGGTTTTCGCTGGTACAACTTATATTTTTTGGGTTATTTTTTTTTATAATTAGTCGGATACAGGAATGCTAAGGAGCCAACAACCAATTATACAACTCCATGTGGGACAACCCCACATGGAGCTGTCTTATTGGCTGTTGGCTCCCTAGCATTACTATAGTCGGATAATGTGTGCATTCAGTTTATAATTTGTTTATCACTACTTCTTTTTTGTCGTCAACGACAACCGTGTATTTGTTTATATACCGTTTATGTATAAGATACAGTACACATTATTTTATTCTTTTAATATTCATTATATAGTTTACAATCTTAATATAATATTATTTTTTTAAATATTTGCTACATGAATCATAAAATATTTATTATTTTATAAAATTTAAAATATTTAAGGAAAATAAAAAATCATTTTGGATCAATAAAGTGATTTAATTAGGTTATTGTCTATGTTGATTGAATTACTTTTAGGTGATATTTAAAATACTAAAAAAAATGTGAGACAACTGTGGTGACCAAGGAATGAGTCAGTTTGACTAAATTGGTATAAAGTTTAATATTAAATGCTTTATTACAAAAATATAATATAGTCCAAACTATATGTAATCATCTTAGGAATAATTTATGACCACATGTTCAATGATTTATGAATATTTATATATCATTTTATTAATATTTATGTGAAAAAAAATAATATTGTGTTACGTCTTTTACCAATGTACGATAAACCCAAGGTTCTCAAAATCTATCGTCATCAAACCAATTAAGTTATTTTTCAACAATTCATTGATTGAATCATAGTTCAATTTATTAACATTTTAATGTATATATAGTTATTCTAATTGATAAATAATTTATAAATTTATGTTTTATTTAAATTGTATATTTCTATATATTTTAAAAATAATTTTACATGTAAGAAATTTTACTTAAAAAATTATACTGATAAAATTAAAAAATTATACTGATCCTACTAACCAGACCAGCTAGACATGGCCATTTCCCGATTTTGGACCGGTTCCGCGCCAAGGATCGAATGGCTATGAACCGGCTCGAACATGGGCCATTTTTCAGTTTCGGGCCGGCTCATTTTGATTGAAAAATAAAAATAATTAAAAAGTAATACATTTTATTTATTTTTTATAAAACAAAAGACCGGACCGTCGATTTTGGTTCCTGTTTGAAACTGGTCTGGCGGTTGGAAAACTAAAAAATGTAGCTCGGAATCGGCCTGATCAAACCATATGCTCGGTTTCAGGCCCATTGACCACATGCCAGTTTTGGGCCCGCCCCGTGGCCATGTCTATGATCAGCTAGTGTTGAACGGTTCATTAGCAAATGTTTTATTCAAGCGAACTGTTTGATCTGACTCGATTTCGAAAACAATGAATAAATCATGATTAATAATATATATATATATATATATTAATTTACAATAATTGTAATATTATTTTCACCGTGCATTACTAGCCAATTACTAGTTTTTTTTTTTTTTTCCAAATGATAGACTTTATTAAACACGTAATTACAGTCTAGAAAGCAGCTAAATAACTGAATAAATCAACTATTCGACTGAATCTAGCTCGGAGGAATAACCTCATAGGCCGATACCCTGAGGCATCCTAGAACCAACCTAAACACAAAAAAACAACACTACAATACAAAGCTCTTAACAAGAAATACAAACAACTCCCAACAGGAGAATAAACCACATAACCAAAATACAACTAACCACAAAAACTAAAACGCATAAACAAAACGGAAAATAGAACAAAAAACGCAACTAAATTTAACGCACTCCCTTCCAAACATGAACACCAAACACCAACACAACCAGAGCTAACAACCAAATGCGAAACGCGAGAGAAGCTAATGGAACTACAGCTCAAACACGACAGCACCAGAAACTCCCCTAATGGGCTAACTAGAACTAGACCACAGATCCAACAGTTGTCCTTGGAAATCTGCCTAGGCAGTCCACTCCACAGCCAACCCCACGCACACACCAGAGCCTACACGTAGCTACGGCCGTGCCACTTGAGGACCGGACTTTCCCAACACCAGAGAAAATCGAAGAGGGGAGAACCAAGGCTAGACCGCTGCCACAAACCTCCGCAAAGAAACTCTTGACGTCCCACCAGCGAAACCCCACGCTACTCGCTCAACATGGCACTCGGTAAGAGAGACGACCCACTTAGGAGGAAGACACGAGGGCCCGCCATAGTCGCGCGTCGACAAGCCTAGGCTGAACCAGTTGGGGATTTTTTTTGCTCATCTGTTTCTCTCTCTCACCAGTTACTAATTACAAAAATCAAATTTTATTAAAAAATTGCCACATTTTATTTCACACCAAGCGTCGATCTACAGTTCATCCACTGCCTTTGTGCTGTATCGAACAACAAAAGCCCTTTTCTTTTCCCTCTCGGCCTCTCCATCGTTTAAAAAAAGTGTCCCCTTTCTCTGTACCAAAATTCATCTCTTTATTCCAGAAAATAGCAGAACTATAGAAGCCATCGAGACCCGATAACCATGATGAGGCTTTTCGGCAGAGGCTCGGGCGGTGAATCTCCGCACACGGCGTCCCCGTCCACTCCACTTCCTGTGTCGGCGTCTAATGTGTCCGTTGGGCCAGCAAGGCCGATCCGCTTTGTGTACGCCGACGAGAAGGGAAGGTTCCACATGGATCCAGAGGCGGTGGCGCTGCTTCAGTTGGTGAAGCAGCCCGTGGGCGTGGTATCCGTTTGCGGCCGCGCTCGTCAGGGCAAGAGTTTCATATTGAATCAGGTAAATTTGGTTAAAGGGACTGGTTAACGAGTTTATTCTGTTTGTAATTGCTACATTAGGGTTTTTGTACCATAACTATACTTGGGCGCCGACAAGTTTCTGATTCTTATTTTTCATGTTCTCCATGTAGTCTGCATACTTTGCTTGCGAATTAGGGTTTTTTGGTTTTGCTATATTTTGTGAAATTAAATCAGGGATTTTGGCTTTATGTGTTGTGAGTGATGAACTTGGTTCTTATTTTGGACTGTACCAAACTCAAGACTATTTGCAAGGTAGGGAACTCAATTGGCTTTGTTTTTCGGTGGTGAGGGTAAGGGCTAGAGGTGAGGGGATCTTTTTGGGTTAAAGAAGAGTATGGAAACTTTTTTTTTAAGGAAAAGTCAAAAACTTGCTACTTGGTTTGTAGGCCGAGTCAAAAACTTGCTACTTGAGCAATCTATATGAATAAGTGAAGTACCAGGTAAGTAAGATTAGTTTGTCACAAGTGAGTCGTATTTTTTGCCCCTTAGTGAATGGGAGGTAATAGTGGCTTTCTTTAAGTTGACACTCACACTCTCTTTAGTATGTTTAGAGAGTTTAGTTGCTAATTGGAGTTATTACTAGTGACAGCCGGCGCACTTTTCTATGCCTCTTGAATGTGTTGAGGTTGTTTATGTAGTGAATGCCTATTGCCTTATGTTTGGTCTTGAAGATATTATGAGTTGTAATAGCTGAAGCTGGTTAATATATGTTCATCTGTATGTTCCACTGGAGCAATCTTTTTGAGGGATGAGGCCTATCTTCTAAATTAAATTTTGTTAATGGTTAAGGAACTATGTCTTCCCTGATTGTGTTGTCAGTAGACTGTTTCAAAAAATGATCTTATTGTTTCAAGCAGTTGAAAGTACTAGTGTCATTTGCATGAAAGAAGACATTTAACGCGAGAAAACTAAATAAATGTCAATTGTGGCTGTTTTAAGTATCACATAAGACTGAGGAGAATATTACATATATTTTTCAGCTTCTAGGAAGGAGCAGTGGGTTTCAAGTTGCACCAACTCATCGTCCTTGTACCAAAGGTCTTTGGCTGTGGAGTGCCCCAATAAGGAGGACTGCACTTGATGGAACAGAGTACGATCTACTACTCTTGGATTCAGAAGGAATTGATGCCTATGACCAAACAGTAAGGTTTTCGTCATGTAGTCAGTTGTTCAACATTGCACCCATACAATTCTTGAATAGTTTATATTTCAATTTTTGTTCTCCATAGAGATGTTAATAATTTATGAATTCATATTACTGTTATTCATATCATCTTTGGATTTCTATGTTCTGCCGTCAGTGACACCTGAATTTGACATATTTTTCATCGTTACTGTTCTTAACTCTTATGATCAGCATTCTAGGAAATATATAAATTGCCCTTTTTGATATTCTTTTTGCCACCTTAGTTTTGGTCTCTTTCTTTATTGTCTCTGTATTTCGTTTCTACAGGGAACATATAGCACACAAATATTCTCTCTGGCTGTCCTTTTATCAAGCATGTTCATATACAACCAGGTAAAAGAAGAATGAACAAATTGTCAGTTTTTTTTTTTTTTTTTGAATATAAAAAATATTACGTTGTAGTTGTTGATTTTCAAAGACGAAATGGTTAACTGGATCTTCTTTTATTTGATTTAGATGGGTGGTATTGATGAGGCTGCACTTGATCGGCTTTCTCTTGTGACTGAGATGACCAAGCATATTCGTGTCAGGGCCTCTGGGGGTAAAAGTACAGCTTCAGAGCTGGGGCAATTCTCCCCAATCTTTGTCTGGCTTCTGAGGGTAATTAATAGAAGACAGAACTACTGCTTTATATATTTCAGGTTATGCGGAATCAAGAACATGAACTAAGTTGTGCTGATTCTGGATTTTTTTTTGCTCTTCGTTGTTGAATCCATTCTTGCAGGACTTTTATCTACAATTGACGGAGGATAATCAAAAAATTACACCACGTGATTACCTGGAAAGGGCTTTGAGATCATCAGCACAGGGAAGCGGAAGGGACTTAGCTGCCAAAAATGAGGTTGTACATGCACGTGTATATTATTTTTTCTCTGTTTGGTATGAAACTAACGACTTTGTTAAGTTTTGGTTCTAACTTGTAGCTGTTATTTCAATTAGTTGTTCAGTATGTATCATTCTGTTGAACTTTAAGGAGTATGAGACCATCTTTTTATTGAAATTTTCTTAACAGATTCGAGAGTCCATTCGAGCTCTTTTCCCAGATAGAGAGTGCTTTGCTCTTGTGCGGCCGCTGAGCAATGAGAATGATCTTCAACGACTTGATCAGATTCCAGTGAGTAAAAACTTTCATTGGAGCATTTGTATTGGGTTACTTCGTACTATCATTCCTGTTACCCCTTCTTGAGTCACTTGATTTATATTTCATGCAGCTGAACCAATTGAGGCCTGAATTCAGATCTGGTTTAGAGTCTTTGATAAATTTTGTGTATGAAAGGACGAGGCCCAAGCAGATGGGAGCTTCAGTGATGACGGGACCCATCCTTGCTCGTATGACTCAATCATTCCTTGATGCTATTAATAATGGTGCTGTGCCTACAATCACTTCGTCGTGGCAGGTTAGTTTGCTCTATATGTGTACTGCTTTTGGTTCCGCATCTGTTTAATCCATTGCTACCATTTTTACGATCTCTCTCTCTCTCTCTCTCTCTCTCTTGCTATATATATATATGTGTGTGTGTGTGTGTGTGTGTGTTATATTGCGATTTGGGCTGCTGAAATAAATAATTAATGTTAGAATGGTTTATATTTATTGTAATTACTATGTCTCCTTTGTTCTGTAATCCGGCCATGGCTCTTACCAGTCTGATCTACTGCTTTTGATTCTTTCGCTATTTTTTTCTGTTGGCTTAATACCATGCCTCAACATCATGCTTTCAGCCATTCTGGTGGAGCCATGTTCAATTGGCTCCAAATAATTGTAGCTCTCTTATTGTTAAGTTTTTCCCCTGCTTCAGAGTGTGGAGGAAGCTGAATGCCAACGGGCTTATGAATTGGGTACTGAAGCTTACATGGCTGGCTTTGACCGTTCGAAACCTCCTGAGGAAGTAAGTCCTGTTTCTTGTTACTGTTTTCACAAGCACACACGCACACACACATACACACACATATCAATTGTTTGCCTAATATGGGGATTTTTGTAGGCTGCGCTAAGAGAGGCACATGAAGTTGCAGTTCAGAAATCAATGGCCGCATTTAATGAGACTGCTGTAGGTGTTGGTATGATTAGGCAAAAGTACGAAAAGCGTCTTCAGAGTTTCTTGAAGAAAGCCTTTGAGGTAATTTTCACTTCATATTTAATCATTACGGATATTTGAAAATTTTACCCAATGATAGGCTGTAGGCATGCCTTTTATGCTAATAATACCACTTCTTTTAAGCACTCGCTTTTGCTTGCATCGGATTTGAAGTACTTCATTCTGTATAGAAAACAGATTTATAGTGTCTGTTGTACATTTTGGATGCAGCACTGAATTTTGACTACACTTGGCTACTTAAGCTCTCCAAATGATTATTTGAATGCCTGCTAGGTTAACTTTACGAACATACTGTGGTTCTGGGCCTCTGCAGTTTTAGCATCTCACTTGACACGGTTACTGATATGATTGGATGCTGAGTGCAGGATATAAAAAAAGATGCTTTCAGGGAGGCTTATTTACAGTGCTCCAAAACCATAGAAAATATGGAGAAGGAGCTGAGAAGTGCTTGCCATGCTCCTGAGGCAAACATAGACAGCATCGTAAAGGCAAGTCTTTGTTCTATAATTGTCGAAAATAAAGTTTTTGCGAGATTAGGGTTTGAAACTGTAAACATCTTATGTCCTTACAGGTCCTCGATGAGCTGTTGTCCAACTATGAAGCTAAATGTCATGGACCTGAGAAATGGCGAAAAGCATTCTTATTTCTACGGCAAAGGTTCGAGCCCCAATTTAACCATTCATTATGTATATTTTGCTTTTAGACAAAAACTTCTACCAGATGGTTCAATGGTATACTTTCCCATCAGAATGCCCAACTTTTCATTTACATAGAGTTTTCTTTTCAGATTTTTAGTCCTTTAGGGTTTTTGTTTTTGCTTTAATCCTTGATTGAGCTTTTTCGTTTTAAAATTTTAGTTTCATAGGCTCTTTTTGCAGAGATTTTAAGTCAATTTCACCTTCTATCTAGATTTTCTAGCCTGTTTTTTGGTTTCTTGATTTTGCTAATGGACGTATCATCTTATCCAGTTTGGAAGGGCCCCTTCTCGATTTGATCAATAAGCAAATAGACCAGATCGCGGCCGAAAAAAGCTCGCTCGCCCTCCAGTACCGCTCGGCCATGGACAGGAATAACCTGATGAACAAACAGCTGGAGGCCAGCGAGAAGTACAAATCTGAGTACCTCAAACGTTATGATGATGCCATCAACGACAAGAAGAAGCTGGCGGACGATTACATGGCCCGCATTGCCAACTTACAGGCTAAGTGCACATCCCTTGAGGAGAAGTCATCCAACCTTTCGAAAGCAGCTGACTTGGCAAATAAGGAGTTAGCGGACTGGAAGAGGAAGTACGAGCTGGTCTTGTCCAAGCATAAGGCAGAGGGGGATCAGGTTGGTGCTGAGGTGGCGATGCTGAAGTCGAGGAGCTCGGCAGCTGAGGCCCGGCTGTCGGCGGCCCAGGAGAGGGCACAGTCAGCCCAGGAGGAGGCCGTGGAGTGGAAGCGAAAGTTCGATATGGCCGCGCGGGATGTGAAGAGCGCTCTTGAGAAGGCTGCTGCTATTCAGGAGCGGACAAATAATCAGACGCAGTTAAGAGAGGCTGCGTTGAGGGCGGAGTTCTCGACTGCTCTGGCAGAAAAGGTGGGTCTGTGTGTTAGGGGCCACCAACCTATCTTCTCTTGTTAACTATTATTGCAAATTGCGCCATGTTTGTAACACTTCTGAACAAGGCATTTGAAATTTCGGAAGATACTTTTTTTAGAGAATGTCTCAGGTTGATTTTATGTGTATGATGTGCAGGAGGATGAATTAAAGGAAAAGGCGGCAAAGATTGAGCAAACTGAGCAGCGTTTGACGACTTTGAGTTTGGAACTGAAGGTTAGCAGATTTTACACTTTGGATATTAGTTTGTCTCAAAATATACATGTGTTAATATTATTATTTTTATTTGATATATTACATCACTTGTGGTTGTAAACACAGGCTGCTGAATCAAAACTCAAGAACTACGATCATGAGACCTCGACCCTAAAGCTTGAGATTAAGCAGCTGGCTGGAAAGGTCGAGTCCACCGACCTCGCCACCCGTCTGGCAGAAAACAAAGCCTCCCGCCTCGAACAGGAGAAAACCCACCTCGAGCAGAAATTCCAGTCTCAGTTCAACCAGTTTGAAGAGATCCAAGACAGGTGTCGGGCTGCCGAGAAGGAAGCCAAGCGGGCCACCGAGCTTGCTGATGCTGCCCGGGCCGAGGCTGTCTCGGCCCAGAAGGAAAAATCCGACTTCCAGCGTGTGGCCATGGAGCGGCTTGCCCAGATCGAGAGGGTCGAGAGGCACGCTGAGTTCCTCGAGCGCCAGAAGGCTGACCTGGCGAGTGAGGTCGAGCGGTACCGGGCGGCCGAGAGGGACGCCTTGTTCAAAGTGGAGGCCCTTGAGGAGAGGGTTCGGGAGCGGGAGAAGGAAATCGAGACTTTCTTGCAGTCTAACAACATCCAGAGGAAGGAATACGTGCAGGGGCTCCAGAGCTTGCTGGACAGCGAACGGGCCGCACATGTGGAGGCCAATAACCGGGCCGAGGCTCTCTCAGTCCAATTACAGGTCACTCAGGCCAAGTTGGACGAGCTGTCCCAGGAGCTAACGACACTCAAGTTCAGTGAAAAGTTGGGCTCGCATGCGACTAAACGAGGGAGGACTGACGACTTTGAGATGGGCGTGGACTCGGGAGAGGGCGGCGAGGGCGCAAATGTCATTAATAATAATAATGGTGAGAGGGTTATTAGGGGGAATAAAAGGTCCAAGAGCACGACTAGCCCGTTGAAGTTTTCGTCACCTGAAGACGGGGGCTCTGTTTTCAGGGGTGACGAGCCGGCAAGCAGCCAGCAGACGAGCGTGGAAGACTATACCAAGTTTACGATACAGAAGCTGAAGCAGGAGCTGACGAGCCATAATTTCGGTGCCGAGCTTTTGCAGCTGAAGAATCCGAACAAGAAGGATATATTGGCTCTATATGAGAGATGTGTGCTCAAGAAATCTTGATTTTTTTTTTCTTTGTGGCGGTTTAGACTTTGTTTTGCGGTGGTGGTGTATATTGTACTCCGATCGGTTTGAGATTTTAATAGAACCTAAAGTTAATGTTAGTGCTGAAGTTGTTTATGTTGGTTTGGATGTGAAGATTTGTTTCTCTTAGTTGGTGTTGTGTGCTATTTTCTTTCCTTAATATAGTCGACATTTTGGTTGTGTGAGATTATGTTTAGTTGTGGATTTGGCCTTGAGTTGTGGTGTTTGTCTAATTATCAATTTTATGTACAATTTACGCCTTAGTTAATATAATTGGGAGCTTCTATTTTTGTACAAAGAAGAAAAATATATCTATAGTACTTAGCTGAGTACACAATCAATCTACAAATCAAAATATATCAACTGTATTTAAATTATTATTTGAATAAAGTTTACAAGATGGTACACTAATGTAACTGTACTTTTACAATTTCTCAGCCAAAAAAAGAAA